CTCCACACAAACATTGGTCACCTCATCAAACCTTGTCTTAATGTCAACCACCTTTGTCACTTCAAACACACTTTTGACACCACCAAAATGGAACAAACAAAATACTTTGAGCCCACCAGAATCACTTCAATCAATATTAATGTTACAACAGTGAGGTCACTGTAACATCACCTTTAATGCCAAAACACAGGTGAGTCACTCAGAACATCACCTTAATGTTAGAACACAGAAAGCCAAAGTTAGATTACCATTAATGTCAAACCTATGTGCAGCACTGATAGTTCACTGCCTCAGTGCTTGGATGTCCTTTTACTGGTCTTAATGCTGGTTCATCCCAAGATTTCAGCCAACATTAAACAACAGGTATCAAACACAAAGGGTTTAACTCTGTCCTGTATGTAATATAGAAACATAGCTTCCTTTGTTGTCATTGTAAATATACTTGAGACCTATTTAGGGTGATATGAATTATAGTAATTCGTAAGCTTACCGGGATGTTATTTCTTTTTGAGTGACCAGGTTTTTTTCCCAACTCCATTCAATGACATTTTACCTCCAAATGGCTAAATGTTCAGGCAGACAGGTGCCAAGTCCCGAAAAGTGCCGCCATAAGGATACGTGATTATCCAAAACTGGCCTCACAGTAGATGTGGAGATCAAGCGATATCTACATTGTAGATATTGGCAACAATTGAACTGTCATAATGTTAGTTGCATCATCAGTTAATGACCTCACACTGCTTTGACATCACTATGAACACAGCTGACAATGCTATGACATCATTAAAAGTTGGGATGATATCACAATGGTATGATGTCATAAATCTAAGGACCCTCACCTCGAGATCACCGCTGAAGAAGCCTATTATCAGTTTTGTGTTCAGATAAATCTGTTTTTACTGATAACTGATGAAGAATGATTTTGGATGATAATAAAATTCATTCCTCGTGTCTTTGGATACTGAAATATATCAATGACTTGATGATTAAAGCAAAAATATCCTCTGCAAACTTTGATATTTGTGTAACTTTAATCAAACTCGTGTTGACATATTTCATATCAGAAGACACTTCCTGGGTGAGAGATTCTCTATATAACTCCGATGTTACTCAAACCATGACCTGAGCATCTGTATTCATATTTCAGGGATCCAAACTCTACAGCTGCACTATATCATGCTTCTTGTTGTGACCGTCTGCAGATACTACGGAGCAATACATCAGGCTGGTCAGCAGGGATTGAAGCGATAGAGAACTCCATCCAAGAAGCTTCCACATCCACTGTATAGAGAACTCCAAACACTAGCATATACATCGAGGTATGTCCTTGTGTACCGCACGGCCTGGTCTGTCTGCAGTGGTGAGGGGTGGGTGGGATGGGGTGTGCATCATACTCCGTCAAAAACTCAAGATCTGTCTCTATTTTGCCGTAAAGCAACATTATATCAGATTATTTCATCTTGTAATGACAAATTTGTGTACAGGAGCATACAAGGTAACATCTATGAAAAAATCCTTGCTCCTCGTAATCTCGGGAGCCGTGTACTAGATCCTCTATGGCTAATGCCATACACTGTAACAAGTGTTGTGCGCTATAATACATTAGTGCCTCGTTCCGACAGTGTAGGGTAATGAATTGCAGACGAGAATCAACCCCAAAAAAAGCACAAGAATCCTTAATATCTCACTCTCAGAAATGTAATCGCAAATATAACATTTGCTGGCTTTGAACCTCTTTTTCTGGAAAGACATAATCTCACACTTTCATTAGGCGGCAGTGGTGCATCATGTCTGTGAGTAGTGGCTGGATGCTGACTTTGTGTTTACTAATAGACAAGATTTATATTCTACACAGAAGCATATGTTTGATATTTTGCTTGAAAAAAACATTTCAAGAAGATTATAGCTTTAACTAAATGATGAACCTGTATTTGCAGAACCAGTTCTTCATAACACAAATAGACAACTCATCCTCAGTGTCCAATGATGTGGGAAACGCGCTGTACAAGCGGATAATTCCAGCCTATCGGTAATAGAGAGAGTCTAGTTTCTTTGTTTAAACAACTTCTTATGTTAATGTTGTTACATTGTTATGATTTGTTAGTTTTTCTAGTGAGTGAGTGAGTTTAGTTTTAACCGCACTCAGCAATATTCCAGCTATATGGCGGCGGTCTGTAAATAATCAAATCTGGACCAGACAATCCAGTGATCAACAGCATGATCATCGATCTGCGCAGTTGGGAACTGATGACATGTGTCAACCAAGTCAGCGAGCCTGACCACCCGATCCCGTTAGTCGCCTCTTACGACAAGCATGGGTTACTGAAGATCAATATTCTAACCCAGACCTTCACGGGTTGTTAGTTTTGTAGATGTGAAGTAGCACTAGTGTTGTGGTGTGTGCTACATGTGTTTTTGTTGTCAGGGCGGGGGAGATGTTCCGCGTGTATGTGATGATGCCGTTACTGCCAGCCTTCGAGGGAGAGTTTGGAACACCAGGGGGCACTGCCCTTCAGGCTGTCACTCACTGGAACTACTCGTCTATATGCAGGGGAGGCAACTCTCTCATAGAGAAACTCAGCAAAGAAGGTAGGAAGGTTGTCTGCCTGTATTAGCAGCTGATACAATCAGAATTTGTTTTCTTACGTAGTGTTTATGCAACAAGTAACATAGTTTCTAATCACAGTTTGATACCAAGTGAGATGAAATGGGTCAATGTCATGTGCAAGATGCTTGCTCTTTGTTACATCATGTGTGCATCCAGATTTACTTCATGGCTGGAACATACAGTGGACCTTTTCATTCCTTTTTTAACAATGAAATTGCCACAGATTTAGAGTAATTGAACAAAGTCTGCCTGATTGAATTTATGCATCTTCTGAAAATCATTACATTTGTGTTTTGTTTGTAATTCCAAAATTTCAAGATATTTCTGAAACCTTTCAACTCTACCCATCCAACAAATTTGCCTGTGATATAGAATGTTAAACTAAGATGTTCCTGTTTCAGTGCCTGACCCTATGCAGTATATCATCTTCAATGGGCTGCGAACCCATGACGAACTCAACGGTAAACCAGTAAGTCCGCACATCCTATTGAGTGTTAGATCTGGTCCAGGACCTCAGGGACTAGTGGAAGGCTTGTCACTGCTTAGATTAACATGTAAATCAGGACAGAAAGTTTCTCTGGTGATACACCTTCCTGGTTTGCCATACAAGGGTGCCATTGCCATTGTTGTATGTTAATGCCAAGCCTGGTTCGTGGTATTCCTGATGCCTCATCCAGTGGATGCCCTGAAATGTTTGTCTGGCACACGATGCCTTTGGTTCAATATATAGAGGTTTGGGACCTCAATAATTCATATCCCTACACTCTCTAGTTCCAAGCATTCCCAGACCTATGTCTTGTTAGTAGTGCCACAGTTGCTATGGGAAGCCATGGAGTTATTCAGATTATGTGCTCATGCTGTTGATCACTGGACTGTCTGGTCCCTACTTGACCGCCGCCATATAGCTGGAATATTGGTGAATGCGGTGTAAAAATAAACTCTCACTCACTCACTCAGCTGATGTAGGGCTGTGAAGCTTCTGAAGGAATGTGGTATTAACATGGATAAGTTTACAGTACTTGTCATATGCATTTAGAATAGGGATTATATATAATGGTATGTCACAAGTTCTAATCAGCAGGATGTGCAGGAATGCTCCTAATCTGGTAGGCACACGGTGAGGTGTGTTTCCTGCTTGTGTACAGTGCTTCCCTTCTTACAGATCACTGAGCTTGTGTATGTGTACAGCGTTTCCCTTCTTACAGATCACTGAGCTCGTGTATGTGTACAGCGTTTCCCTTCTTACAGATCACTGAGCTCGTGTATGTACACAGTAAGCTGATGATCGTTGATGACGACACTGTCATCATCGGTTCAGCCAACATCAACGACAGGAGCATGCTGGGAAAGAGGGACAGCGAGATGGCAGTGATGGTGGAGGACCTCCCAAAGAACAAGTTCGAGATCTCGTTTGGGGATCGGAAGCACATGGCGGGCAAGTTTGCCTCCTCCCTCAGAAGGACCCTGTTCAAGTAAGTCACATCTGGTTGATATCATAGGTGGAGTTTCTTGAAGTCATTGTTTTGTACTACTAAGCTTTATTAGTAATAATCAGACATCTCATTCCATTTAAATACTGCTTGAAATCTAACAAGAATATTTTTTATTTCGTTTCATCTTGAAAAACAAAACTATAGCTGTCATAAGTAGGGTAGTATTTTACTGCTTGGATGTGTCACTGCCCAAATTTGGGGATTATACGCCGCCATCATAGGCCTTATGGAGCTTGTGGAACATATTGATGTTGAAGTAGCTTTTCCATGTTTTCCAAATGTGTCCGGAGCTTTGAACAATGTGGGATATGTTTCCTGGTCATGATAGCCACAGCCATTAGCTCTAGCATCTCTATACTGCTAGTGTTGTAGAGGCAGCATGGGAGGCTCAGTTGGCTGTGGGGAGTTGTGTCCCCTGGGTGTGCCAGTAATCTATCATAGTGGGTTCAAATCCAGTTCACACTGATTGTTCCTAGGTTTAGTCAGCACTATTTCCATACTCACTGGTTTCACAAAAGTAGTAAGGGTCTAGGACCAACATGTTTTAGAAATCTTTTTGTGGTTATTGCTCAATCATCTTTGTACAAACACATTGACATAATATCCACAGGAGATGCAATGCCGTGGCCTTTTTTCCATTGAACTGTTTGACTTGTTTCCATGCAGGAAGACTTGATTCTGGCCTGACAAAGATAGCAGGTTTCATTATGTTATTTGTGTATTACTTGCCTGCAGTGCATCTGCCCATACTTGTAGTAGCCTAGTTGAGATGACATATGAACCACTCCCTGCCTCAGGAGCAGTCCCCTCTGACGATGAGTGTCCCGGTGTGTCCTGTACCATGTCATGAGCTGTGTATTCCATGCCAAGTAGGGAAATATATGCTATTTTGTATACTGTTCTTGTGTATCCAACAACAAGGTTGAACCAGGAAGTAACTAGCTGCACTTTGTATCCTGCAGTGAGCACCTGGGGCTGGGAGATGCTGGCTATGAGGTGGATGACATTGTCTCGGACTCCTTCTACAAGGGTGAATGGATCCACAGGGCCAGCATCAACACCACCATGTATGACAAGGTAGGTTCTCTTGATGGATGTAGGACAAGGTGGGTTCACTTGATGGATGTAGGACAAGGTGGGTTCACTTGATGGATGTAGGACAAGGTGGGTTCACTTGATGGATGTAGGACAAGGTGGGTTCACTTGATGGATGTAGGACAAGGTGGGTTCTCTTGATGGATGTAGGACAAGGTGGACAAGGTGGGTTCACTTGATGGATGTAGGACAAGGTGGGTTCACTTGATGGATGTAGGACAAGGTGGTTCACTTGATGGATGTAGGACAAGGTGGGTTCTCTTGATGGATGTATGGACAAGGTGGGTTCACTTGATGGATGTAGGACAAGGTGGGTTCTCTTGATGGATGTAGGACAAGGTGGGTTCACTTGATGGATGTAGGACAAGGTGGGTTCACTTGATGGATGTAGGACAAGGTGGGTTCTCTTGATGGGTTCTCTTGATGGATGTATGACAAGGTAGGTTCTCTTGATGGATGTAGGACAAGGTGGGTTCTCTTGATGGATGTAGGACAAGGTGGGTTCACTTGATGGATGTAGGACAAGGTGGGTTCACTTGATGGATGTAGGACAAGGTGGGTTCACTTGATGGATGTAGGACAAGGTGGGTTCACTTCATGGATGTAGGACAAGGTGGGTTCACTTGATGGATGTATGACAAGGTGGGTTCTCTTGATGGATGTATGACAAGGTGGGTTCTCTTGATGGATGTTCACTGAGTAGGACAAGGTGGGTTCCTTGATGGATTGATGGATGTAGGACAAAGGTGGGTTCCTCTTGATGGATGTAGGACAAGGTGGGGAGGTTCACTGCAGGAAACAGCAGGATAGATGATGGAGCAAGTGTCATCGGTCAGCTGGCACTTGCTAGACAACTTTGTGACATGCAGAAGACGGAGGGCGTGGTGGATGGGCCAGTGGTGACAGTGTCAGCTTGGTAACAGCTGGGTTGGTTTGCCTCCTCCCTCTGTTTTGAGACTGGTTGTTGTGCACCATGGCTGCTTGTGAACTCACAGCTTGTCTACAGTATACATATATGAGGAAGTCAAGATTAAGCTGTTCATCTTGGGGAGACCCAATAGTCATGGGTTTGTTCCCACAGATGGGTAGACATCGTGGATCTTGGTAACATTGTCCGGGCTTCTGACTGCCTTCATAACACAACAGAACTTAGTGATCTGGTATTTGCTGGCAAACACCATATTCTGCTAATGTTAATAGCTTGTCAACTAGCCACAGCTGTTTGTAACCTGATGCGGGTGGCGACTAATATAACTTTTAATAAGCATAATAATTGGGGTAAAATCATTTTAGTTATGATGACATTAGTCACAGAGCCATCACACAGATTGGTCTCAGATATTAGTCAGTGTGAGCCCTCACAAGCTGGATCTTTAGACTTTATTTTAAGTGTTTTAAGTATTCGAATTGAATCTTTATTTGTTTCCATTTTAAGTTCATTGAACTACAAGTTTCATGATGCATAGATCTTGTGAGAATAGCTTTTCTCATATCTCACACTAGGTATTTCTGTGCCAAGTGCCAAGGGAGAAATGACACATATCCATTCAGGTCTGAGTTTGTCTCATGGTGTCAAACATGGTGTCAAACATGGTGTCTACAGATACTCATTATTAGCATCTTTCTACACAAACTCTCTGTGGAGCCTAAAAGTTGGGGAATGTTTTATATACCGTATGGCGTGCCATATCTTGTGTGTTCTTATTCTGACAACTGGTAGACATGGAACTTAAGGTTGAGTGATCTCATTATAGTGTTGATTAACTGCCTGTATGCAGTCTGTCAGGGCTAACTTTCAAGCAGTAACTGTATCAGTAGTTTATTACTCAGATAAGACAGACTATAAGTGTAGCCTACAACCGGGCTACATTCAAGACATCCGTTCGGACACGGGTGGTCTATAATTCAGATAAGACAGACTATAAGTGTACTTTAAGTGTAGTCTACAACGGTAGGATTCAAGGTCGCAGGTTTAAGTGTAATGCACCTTCGACAAACCATCCGCTCGGATAACATTCGGTTAATTCTTAAGTGTCCAGGTAGGACTGTATCTAGTCTAAACTACGACTAGTGGAGCACAAATACAAAGTCAGTACTGTCATGCTGTTTCTGGAAATGTTGCTCAAACTTGTTCAATGATTGAATCACTGAATGCATGATGAAATCAGTATTTTATTGTTCAACACAACTGTATCACATTATGTTGTGTTTGTTTCTGTGTGGATAATGTTGATATATCTCTGTGTCCTTACTCTATTTTTCTTCGATACTATGTCCTGAGTCTTCCCTGTTGTTGTCACCCGTCTGTTCTGTTCATCTGATATTTAAGGTACCCACAATGTTATGTTAATTTTTCCAGGTAAAGTTTCTTTGTGTTTGTGAGGATGCACCTGGTGATGAATATTATGAATTGTGTCCCTCAGGTTTGAAAGAAATGATTTTATGGCCAATCGAATTTTGTTTCTCTCGCTTTCATGGAGTAAAGTGTTGTCCTTGTAAATATATTTAGATATATGGCAAATTTTAGGCAAATGTCTTGTATGAACTAAATCTAAAACAGAAGATGAAATTGAAACAAATCTTCTGGGCTGTGTTGTTAATCATGCAGATTGGTTTTATCTTTTATTATGTTTTTATGGTAATCTGACCCATTGTATAACACATTTGTTGTGGATGTGTACAGTTTTAGCAGAATCGTGTCGTGGGTACATGATGAACAAGTAGAGAGACATTGTGTCGGGGCAGGTGTTAGGACATCTTGGTCCTCGCCTTCAGCCAGCAGAGGATGACCAGCCCAGCCTTCCATACATCTGAATAATCGTAGTAGAATTTCAGATTTTGAAATTGTCTGTTGCCATCTTCTGGATTGTCTTGATTCAAGCATGTTTACTTTTAGGGCTGACTGTCAACATAGATCAGTTGTCTAAATATTGATTGATTATTGATAGATATGAGAGAAGTAATTTTGACCAAAAATGTCAATAAAGGCTTACAGAAGTCAACATATTTCACATCACTGGTGAGTGTTGACATATTTATGCAAGGATTGCTACTAGCGCAGCGTTCCGAACATAAGTTTGAAGCAACCAAAGACCTTTACTTTGTATATTGTGTAAGTAAATTAACAGTTTATATAACAGTTTATGTATTATGTTATTGATGACACAAATTTCTGCATCAATAATCATTCATATTTTTCCCTATCAGTGATAATTCCGATTATCAATCTGTTTAGCCATCACTGGCTATTTTAGAACCTCTTATTACTCGAGCTGGAAGTAGGTCATTTAGAAAGGAAAATAACTTTTTGTATTTTGAACCAGTGGAGATTAGCTGTAGTAGTATTGACCATGCTTTTACATCTTATATTTAATTACCATGTCAGGGAATGGCAGGTCTTGTGTTGTATATGACCTTTTTAACCCTGCTTGTTTATAGTCTGTGAACCTTTTGTGATGAGTACTGCTAGGTTGTTGCATTGTTACACAAAGTGTGTATGCGTTATAGAATGTATGCTAGGTCCATTCTTGGAGCACTACATGATGCTGAAGTGTCCAACATACAATTTTGTCTTTAGATCTGTTCCACATATTTGGAGTCTGTCTCTTTTATGGCATTATATTCATATTTTTGCTTCAGCTGTTCACAGAAACAATCTCTCATCATACTCTGGTGTCAAAAGTTAGTCCTCGTAGACCATTCTAATAAAGCCATGTCATTTGTATCATAGGTAGTAAATCTGGGACTGTCATGAGGGTAGCTGCTGCTGGGGACAGTCCTAGTACCTGACTACAAATACAGCTGTGGTTCCAGGAGGCTTCTCAGATTCTGTGATGTTACGTAGATAGGGCAATGGCTGCCTCCTGCTATATCCCATGTTATCATACCTCAAGTGTATATTGTTCATATCCATGCATTCCTTTATTTACTTGTTTACATTCTTCCTTTACATACAGTAAAACTGTAAAGTTCAAATAACATGTGAAGTTATTTTATTCTCATACATCCCAAATGTTTTAGAAAGTTTGGACAGAAACAGCAGAATAAGTATGCTACTTGAAAGAAGTAAAGGACCCCTCTACACTTCCATATTACTATAGGTAGTCTGTCAAGGCATAAATATGACAGAATCAGATTAACTTCAGCAATGTGAAGGCATTTTGTTGTCCTTTACTTCTTTCGAGAAGAGTACGTCCCATGGTGTTTGAAACTGTTGTCATGGTGATCAGGAAGTCTGTGGGTACAGTTTCAGTCCATGTCTTCCTCACAAACCTTGTGATTAGCTATGTTCTCTGAATCAATTCCTATTTACCATGTCAAGAATTACTCTGTTGTTAATTTTGATCTCAGCATGTACATGTTCAGCTAAAATAGGTCCTCCTGATGGGCTACTATATTCCAGTGAGTCAGTAGGGTTTAATGCCGCTATGAACAGTTTTTCAGTAATGGTTGATGAGGAGGAAATCCTGGAGTTACGCATGACATTTGCCTACTGTGAAGACCCAGGATCAGTATTATAGTGCAGACAAACCTTGAAACAGTTTAGATCTTATTGGTATGATAACTATCATGAGTTGGAACTTCAGCTCAGTGAAGTCTGGTGCTTTTGATGGCTTGGCCAGTGAAGTGTATTGTAGTCTTCAGTCCTTCAGTTGGCATTACAGACAGACAGATGGACCTCCGGTGTTTACCTGTGGTCATTTGTGTCTGAATACTGAAGATAAGAACATTTTTGACAGTTGGCATTATGTCCTCAGGAAATATGATTAGCCGAGTCACTCGTGGATGGTACACTGGCTTTTAGTGAAATGCATCCATGTTTATGGGCCAACCCTTGAGGTTGAAGACCTTAACAAATGAAGGATGGTTTGGTGCATGGATAGGCTTGACTTTCACCAAAATATCCTCCTGTAGATGAAATGCATATTTAGCATGTCCTGTTTTGGTTGATGTCCTTCAGTTTCAGTGAAGTTATCTGTAATTATACAACAAATGAGTTTCCAAAGTTAATTAATTCAGACTAAGAAGACTATTTTGTTAAAGTTATGAATTATTTCATCACTACAAACCTACCCCTGTCCACAACGACAATAGTAGCAACACTACCACCCTTTAAAGCCTTTGCATCCCTACTCACTGTTCTTGTCAATAGACAGGTCACCTTGCTTATGTATTTTGTGTATGTCTGCTGCCTACACTCAATAAGTAAATGAAGAGTTGTTAAAGAAAAATACAGGTACACAAGTTGAAAGGATACATCGAGAGTGTTGTTTGAATATTTAGAAAATTGGCACTCAACATTGATATGGTGTAGGGCATATATTTTATGAGAAAATACATCTTATCGTAGCTCTTTATACCGCTTCTATTGTAGGAGCTGTTACAAGTTACATGTAACCATGTTCTGCATGTATGTTATTTATTAGTAGCTGTGGACATTCCTAATCTTTAATCTTGCTTGGCCATGATGAAAGTTGTGACCTGATTTCTTCTTGTCCTGGGCATTGTTATCTATGCTTGTCTAACATGACATTCTCCACTCATGGGGTTCAAGGAGACCTTGATACTCAGTTTGTAATGATTTGACATGCATTAGTATTAATACTACTAATAAACTATCTTCCCATGGCAAGACACAATAAACACTTGTTTCCACTCAGGAATTTCACTGCTCGATAACTGCTGATCCTACCCAAGTTTTGACAATGCTGCAAATCACTAAACTCTCAATGTTAGTTGCACAACCTGGGTGGATTTTGTTACAAGATTTTGATTGCACTATAAAGAGTCTTTAGTCCAAACAAAATATAACTGGAATTCCGGTCTCGTTCAGGAAGGGTGGAGACTGGACTTGTATAGTCTGTTAACCCCCTGGGAAGGTGATGATAAGCATGCATATATACTAACTCCCTAAACATAT